TTCTTCTTCTTCTCTTCTCTCTCTCTCTCTCTCTCTCTCTCTCTCTCTCTCTCTCTCTCTCTCTCTCTCTCTCTCTCTCTCTCTCTCTCTCTCTCTCTCTCTCTCTCTCTCTCTCTCTCTCTTTCTCTCTCAACTCTTCCAATTTTCTCTAACATAAAAATTTTTACATTTGTCTGCGAAAAATATCGAAATATACATATTACACACGTATTACCGACATTATTAGCCTCTATAGTCTCTAAAGCTTTACAAGGAAACTTTTTCACTTTTTTCTCACTTCATCATCGTTTTTCCACCATCATCTAGCGAAAGTTTTTCTAGTTTCTAGTTTTTCTCTTTCCCTCTCCAAAGAGGAGATTTCTCTTTAAATACTCTTCGAATTTTTCATTTGGTCATCGCGCGTCAAATTACCAAACGGGGGAGAGGAAAGGGGATTCGGTCGCGTCGAAACGACGCGGCGAGGGAGGGGGAGGGGGAGGCGGGGGGGGGGAGGGGGAGGGAGAGGTGAAGGAAACGAAATTACGACGATCATCAGATATAAATTTCTAATTCCTATGCACGATCACAGGCATCCCGTCGTGTCTCATCCTGATATGCTTGTAAATGTTCGACGAACACTTGTCCCTCTTGCTGCAATAAGGACACTTGAACCTTGGCTCCTTTCCGCAATCGTACTTCATATGGGTCTTCAACGTTTTCTTATACGTGTATCCCGCGTTACAAATGGGACAGTGATAGGACATCTTGCCGGAGTTCCAAAACGAGCCGTCTTCGTTCTTGATCGCTGTCCTCCTTCCTCGACTGTACTCGACTGTCCCCCTCTGGTGGTGGTGGCCGTCCATCACGCTCGACTCGTCGTAGGCCGGCAACGGCAACGCCCCTACGAACAAGAAAACAGAGGCGACCGTTAGACCGAGAGGGGCGAGAGAGCCAAACGTGGTCGAACGAAAAGGAACGGATGGGATAGAGATAGAGCGAACGAGCGATTCGAACGATTCCGACGAAACCAAAGAAGGAATCCTGGTGTCGTCGAGGAGCGAGACGACAACGCCTACTAAAAAAAAAAAAAAAAAAAAAATAAAACCTCTTCCTCTCCTGCCTCCGTTACAATTTTCGCGCGATGAAACGATGATGATACGATAGGGAGGATGAAGATAGATAGATGGGGACAGAAGAACAGTGATGATCCTCACGAGGACAAGGAAGATCTATCTATTTTTAACATCTCGTGTACACGCGCACATACACGCATACATACGCACACAGTAAGTCACACAAATTTTCACACACGGTTTTTCACAATCGATGAAGGAATACGGGCGCGCGAGCTACGATGTTCCATCGTATGTATATATATATATATATATGTATAATCGCAATATACAATATCACGAGAGTCACACGAGAGTCTCTTCTCTTTTCTGTTCTTCTCTTTCTTCTTTTTTTTTTTCTTTTCTTTTTTTCCTCCTCGGTTCAGTAGAGTTTGTACGCTTGAATCCTGCTACCCTGGTGATACGTTCTGATATGCCTGTAGGTGTTGGACGATTTTCTGTCCCGTTTGCCGCAGTACGGGCATTGGAACCGCGGCTCCTTCCCGCACTCGTATCTGAAATGGGTCAGCATGTTCGCCTTCTTGCTGAACGAGCTGCAACACCTCGGGCAAAAGTATCTCTGAACTTGATCCGGCTGACTCGACCACGACGATCTCGACGGCTCCTTCGCGTATCCTGCAAAAGACAAGCAGATCACAGGCCGGGTAAGTAACGCTTGCCTACCCGCTGCTCGGAGAGTTTTCGAGGTTTCGAGCAAGCTGCACAACACAGAGAGAGAGATTTTCGCACTTTCGACACTTTTTTTCCCCTCTCTTTACGATTTTTCTACGATTTTTTTTTTTCCCCTTCCTTCGTTATTCGGGAGGAGACAACTCTCGGAACGAATCTCTTTGAGACGTTTGATCGATCGTCAAAATGAACAATGAACACGAATTTTATTGAGAAACGGTTAGAAAAGGAGGAGGAGAGGGGAGGAAGGAAGGAAGATGAGAAGATAGAACGATTACAAAGTTTCTCGTTGTTGTTATCGTTTTCGTAGAAGCGATTTTTTCGTAAAAAAGAAAAAAAAAAAGAAAAGAAAAAAAAGGAAAAAAACAAAATTCTCAATCTCGCGAAGAAGAAACACGGAGGAAGAGTCGAAGCGAACGAGTCGAACGATTATTCCAGAGTTCAAGGAAGAACGGTCTCTCCTTCTATATCCATCGTTGTCATATCCTCTCTTCCTTTCTTCTTTCAACGCGATGCGGTTTAAACAGGGACAACTTCTCACGCGCTACACGTTCGAGCTATACTTTGACCGGTAATCGCAGTACGTATACCGGAAATGTATCTCGTTCAGGTTGTAATGGGGCCGGTAGTGACGCATCATACAATGTTTGGACAGGAAAGTGTACGTGTAACAAGGACACTTGAACCAACGTGATGATTTACCGGCTGTACACTAGCAACCACGGATTACACATCACAAAAACTTCGAAACTTTGCGCCACGTACGATCAGAGGATAAACTGTGCAATCGTTCGAAGATTGATCGAAAAAAAAAGACTCTCGTTCTCTTTCAAGTATTTCTCGTAAATGGACGTTGGACGCACTTGTCGTGAGATTTTATATGGCGTCGATAAACCGTCCATTGACGAGGAATAAAAACAAGAATTTTATTCTAACAGAGTATGAAAGAGTACGCGCATCTTTGATTCTCACGATTCCAATAGCTGGATCATTTTTTTCTCACAAACACGATTCTCGATTTGCTCGAGAAAGAGACATTTGTAAATGGATACTACGTGACGAGACGAGAATCCTCCACGTAGTGTCCATTTAAATTGTTTTTAAACATGATTTTAAACGCAAGAAATTCTTATTTCCAATCGTATCGAGAAGGAATGAAACGAAATATGGACGAAAGATGGCACGTGTTAGAAGTAAGAATGGAAAGTGTTTGAAAAATTGTTCAAAGAAAAAAGAAAAAAATACATGAAGAAAAGAAAAAAGAACATACTTAGAACGCATGA